TTGTTGGCAGTGACTATTACCGTCAGGGCATGAGTAGTCTTTGTATTCAAGCTGACAGACTGGGAACTATTAAACAAATGAATTCTTCCCCGTACTGAGTCTCACGTCACTCCTCATTAGCCAGGATGCAGTGACAGGAGAACTCACAGAGCCAACTCTAACTACAAAGTTGTGCCCAAGCTAAAATGACCTCCTGAAGCTGTTAAGGATTATCGAGGAATACCAGGTTAGCAGGTTTCTCTGGAGCTGGCATCAGCCACGGCTCACAAGCTCACACACCAGAGCTAATAATGCATGCAGCCAGGCACGCGTACTATACCTCCCTCCGCATCCCAGGGAGCTCCCTTGCACCCCGCGTCAGGCACACTGCACCTTCACCATCCCAGCACGCAGAGGGTTAGTCCTACTCACACGATCTCACAATCTCTGTTCCTTTACTTTCATTCCATTTTCCTGTTTTCTATGCTGCTTTTCCTTACCCTTTTTTTCCCCCCAGTATAATTTTCCCATTATATTGATGTTGTAATACTGCTTTTTGCTGAAAAGTCATTGCTGTCAGGTATTGAGAAAAAGGCTGAAAATATTTGAGTGTTTTGGTATCCCTCCATCATTTCTGCACTAACTCAGAGCCTGGGAAGTAACACTATCAATCTTGTCAGCAGGTCAGCACATCTAATCGCCACTTATCTCATGCTTTTAAAACTTATCAAATACTAATGTTGAACTTACTGAGGTTTTCTACCAATAATAAAACCCCAAAACATGTCAGAGTTTATATTGGTAATTTTTGTGTTCACCATTTCAAAATCTTTAACAAACCAAATATATTAGTGTTTGGTTTAAATGGAATTGAGAAACAACTGAATCATAGTGCAAATACTGACAATAGTAATGCTCTTGCATAATACTGTTAATTGCCCTAATTTAATAATTTCAAAGCCCATCTTCTGTGGGGTTTTGCCTAACAGGCTTCATGGGCAGCTTTTGTCCATCTGTTCTTCCATTGCCCTTGTTGCAGTACATGTTCCTTTTCTTCATCCTCAATAAGAAATTTCACTTCCCTGCTTTTCCCTTTATTTCTTCATTCCTACTTTTTGTGGGTCTTCCTCTCAATGTAAAATCATCTCTTGTCAGCTTAGGGTCCATCTATATTATTATCGGTTTCCTGCCACCTTACACGCCCAGATACCATCAGACTCTATACCCTCTCTGTTTTCAAATGAAGAAGTGTGATTTCGCTTACCTTTCAATATGGAATGTACATTGTTTTGTCCCCTCCTCCAGTGTACGTATGTTAAAGGTTTTTCACTTTGACTGGTGCAATGTGAGAAAGATTCTCTTATCTCTTTCCAGAAAATAGCTAAATTCTGGGAGAGGCGTACATCTGTATCTTCCACAAAACTAAAGCATTTACTTATATTCACTTCTCACATAGACACAATGCAACAAGTTGACTTGGCTATTAAAGTGGAACTAAGAACTGGCATTTTCATTATTAACTGATCCTTTTAATATTTTAGAATTAGGTTGGGTTTCTGTTGTTTTCCATGCAAATAATTCTTTCTGAAAAAGTGCCTTGGAAAACACCCTCTACTTCCTTTCCTTGCCATGTGTATACATACAAGCATGGTCAGTATCACCAAAAAAGCCCACTTTTTTTGCTTTCGAATTTGTGATACACAAATATGTATACAGATTAACAACTTTACACAACATGCACTGCTAAGCTGAAAAGTACAAAAAATTAAAAAATTAAAAATTGGAAATAGAAAGAAGGCTTCCCAAAAGTAATTCTATCTCGCAGGTTTTGAAACATACTTAATTATCAAAGCAAATCCTGATGGACGTTAATGTTGCTGTGAATACAGTTACTGGCTATGTTTCACAGAGCTCTTTTTCTAGATAAATACAATGGTCCTTCCCAGTTCCAGAATTGGCTTGAGAAGGGAGGAAAAAAAAGAAGTTGTAGGATACTTTTTGTATGTTACATAATTTTGACTTTTAGATTAATTTTCAGGTAGAAGGACAACACTACCCTGGAAGCCCACCTAAGAAACCAGAGCTGACTCACATTTTCTTGGTATCCAAGAAAATAGAGTATTTCTCTTGATTCTCCCTATTAAAACCAAAGGTATGTACCTAGGTTTCTTCCTCATTACAAAACATGATATCTGTGGAATGAGTTGACTGAACAGAGCAGGCCGACATCCAGTGCTACTTACCACATCTCAAGAAAGCTTCCTAGCGCAACACCCAGTCCTGTCAGGAAAGGGACTTTTATTAGCAGCTCTGTTGAAGTCAACAGCTTTTCATCTTTGGGAAGCTATAAGAATATCAGCTGGCGAATTGCCCTTTCCCTCCAAACTGCTAAGGAAATTCAGGCCACATGATTGGACAGGATCAACTGCAATAGCAAGCAACCTCTCGATATACAGCTAGGTCAGGAAGATCTACAGAACATCAGTTTCTCCACACAATTACCCTTCCAAACACTGGAGAACCCTATATTAAGCTGAAGGCCTTTAACACAGGATTAAAAAAGAATCAAATGAAATCAAGCATTACCAATTTCCCACGTCCTTACATGGGAACTTGTTAAATAAAACTTCAGAGGACAATGATCAGTGGGCCATATTTCACAATACAGAAAAGGGCTAAAAAAAAAAAAAAAAAAATCAGACCCAGTAGTCCTTTCCAATTTTCTGTTCTCTATGTCACCTTCCATACATGTTTCCAGTACAGAGGACAAAGATCAATGGGCCATATTTCAAAAAAAAAAAAAGGGCAAAAAAAAAAAAAAAAAAATCAGACCCAGTAGTCCTTTCCAATTTTCTGTTCTCTATGTCACCTTCCATACATGTTTCCAGTACCAGCAGTATGCTGTTCTTTCAGCTGAGCAATGCATGATTTTCCAGCATCTCCCAATTCGGGCAAGATGATTGCTCTGCAGAAATACAGATGTGGCCTCCACATCTCACAGCTTCACTGTTGTGCTTGGTAACATGAAAAAGCTGCCTAACTTTAGAAAGATCTCAAGGGCCTGGAGTTTCCCAGCTTGGAATCTTCTTGAAAAGCCAAGCAAGTGGAAGGTTTTCCTGTGAGCAACTTGAGCAACATCCTAGTCACAACATTTATTCCCTCCCAGCACTAAAAATATGTTTAGTCTTTGGAGGAAGGGATGGACCTCTACTCAGATCACCACTTCCCCTCTTCCCCTGGAAATCTGGCAGATGTAGCAGCAGATTGTCCTAAGAAATGAGGAAGAGAGAAAATGACAAACCTACATTACTCTGTAGTCTTTCCTCCTTCAAGAGGCACTACTGCCTTCTAGATGGTATTTAGCTGGACCTTGCTTTGTTTAAAGAAAATCTAAATGGGAACAATAATAGGCATACTGCTTGACTCTAAGGCTCTGTCATGTTTTAAAGGAAAGGGAAGGAAGAGAGGAACTCTTCTCCCTTGTTTAAGCTAGTTAAGGCAAAGTCACTGGAGACATCAGAGACAACAACAGCAGCCATCGCACTGTGGGTCGTCTATGGGTTGTAATTTTGGCAATTCCCAATCAAGTTCAGGTTGCCTGTTTGGAAGGGTGAGATGCATCTGGTAAAACCTTTCACTCAAAGGTCACTAAAAAGATGCAGTCCATTACAAAAGGAATCACGCAGTTTTGCTGCAGCAGCTGATTGACCTCTTCAAAAGCACCAGTGCCACATTAATTGAAGGCTCTTGTTGAGGGTATTATCCAGATTCAAGAATGGCGGACAGAGAGAAATAGCTATACCCTGGGACCAGAGACTTTTCCAAAACTGGGGCAGAGCAACTTGACCTAGAACCTTGAAAAACAACAAATTTACTGCAAGCTGGAGGAGCTCCTCTTTGTTTCCAAGATCTATATAAATTAGAAAAACTATAGTGCAATCATATCATCTGTTACTGTAAATACAATGCTAATCAAGGGCTTTGGAATTAACAATAGCATTAGGGCACACAATCAAATACTGAAATGGAATGAAAGATAGAAAATACAGATTATTAGGAAACTAATAGTAATTGTCAAACTTCGGAACACAAAAGCCATAGCTAGGAGTTAGGAAAATTGCAACAGAAACCTCGGTGAGAAGTTTTAAAGTCAAAAGCATTTAGTTTTGCCATAGTATCTGTACTTTTTGTTTTAATGTTAGAGAATGAAAGGTGGTTGAAAATTTTAGACCACTTTCTGAGTATTTCTAGTTGAACTCACAAACATGTTTGTATTTAAGATTTAAATCCTACTGAAGCGTGATAGTTTCTTACATTGTACTCACTTTGTTATGAGTCTGTACAACTGAAAGAAATAACAGGTCAAGTAAAATATGCAATAATACTTAAAACAGATGTTGATGTAAATTCCAGTGGAAAGAAAATATTTGTTTCGATATATGTGCTTTCTTAGAGCTTATTTTTCTTATATTGTGCAACTACTGTATTTAAAAGCAGAGACTATTAAGAACTAATGTATTTAAAAAACAGTAAGAAGTGGTTCTGTGAAAGCCTGTCAAAGAACTGAATGTCCTGACTTTTAAAAATTTGTGCTACTTCATAGGACGCAAAAAAATCACCAACTATACGGGGGAGAGAAGGGGAGACTATCCGACCTTTTATCTCACTCTCAATATAAATTTCACTGTATTGATGCAGTCCAAATTACATAAACTGCTGAGCCAATTCTGTACTGTTTCAACAGGAAAAGAACACTCTTCAACCTTTGAAATACTATATATCAAAACATTAATTGGGCTCGGTGCTTCAAAAACGAAGTCAGAGGGTTAAGAAAAACCTGTTAGCTACTTTTAAAGCTTTTAATTTCAGCTCTTATATTTATTTTCCTACTGATACAATGTCATCAAGAAACTATGGCGCCCAGGAGAAATGCATCCTGTAGTCACAGGGCTGAAACAAACTGCTATTTTATAAGGTTAGAGATCAGGAGCATGATTTATATTCCAGGTTAACAAACTTACATGATTTTCTGTTGGAAATTTTCAGTGGCTGAATCTGCACTTCTGGTCTTCTTAGTGCAAATCTCCTATAAAATGGGAGGTGGTAGGGGAAAGACACAAACTCCTCAGTTTTCACTGCAAGTCTGGGATTAATAAACACTTAACACCATGAGACTATTGCAAAATATCCAGAAGATTTTATAAGACATTAACTTAAAACAATGCAATCTATTCACAATCTAAAAATTTAAATCCTTAGCCTCGAATTTTTTTAAGCTCTCCAAAACCTGCCGCAGTTCTTATTCCTGCATAGTACATCAATGTGAATACAGATACTGATGTGCTATTTTCCATATGTTTTTTCTTTCAATCTGGATCAGTGTTATCCTATCAGTTTTTGTCATTATTAGTTCTAGCCAGACAAATAAGGAAATCCAAAGTATTTCAGCAACAGGTTTCCAAGTTCAGCTGTCTTGCTGCAAATGCAGGTTTATCATACTCATGTAATCTATGAGCATTACATATTACAACTATGCTAACAACAATTCGGCAAATAAATGTCTTCTCTTACTACAAAAAATAATGAAACTATGCTTCTCAGTAGCTCACCTCTCCTGAAAATGCTTTGAAGGGATCAAGCCTGCTCTGGGATTGGCATCACCTTCGTGTTTGGCCTGCCACCAGGTTGCATCATCCTGGCTCATGATCTGAAGGATATCTCCTCTTCTGAAAGCAAGTCCAGCTTCTTTACAAGGGATTGCTTTATCCTCATTAGGATCATAGTCAAATAGGGCTCTGATAAACATCTGAAATAAACGTGTTTTATCTTTAGAATCAAAATATTAAATGCAATCTAAAGGTATCTCCCTTTTTTGCTTTTACTGTTCAAAACCATTGAACTAAGTAATGTAAGACAATGAACATTTAGTGCTGTAAAACATCCTTATGGATGTCTAGCATTAGAAGTTCATAGGGGAATGTTAAATTCATTGCTTCTGCAACTGCAATCCCAATGTAGTAAAGGCGCTGTGCAAGGTGAATAGTGTGCCCATATGGGGAGCAGAAGACAAGAGACTTTTGAACCAAGGTGCTATCAAGTGTCTTCTACCTAGTGTCCTAGCATACAATGGGAGAAAAGAAGTACTTGGAAGCAAGCCAGGTCCTCGCAGAAGACTGAATATTACCTATGTCAGCTTCAGGGCTGCAGAGTTAGGGCTTCAGAATCACGTTACACCCACTTGTAAATCCAGCACGTGAGTACTGAAATGTACAGCACGCTACACATTGTCACATTAGAAAAACTGAGTCCGGAGGCATAAATCACATTCTTGGTTCTGATATCCAAGCAAACAATATAAATCCCTCAGCATAACAGTTACTGCAATAGCTTCTGAAAGAGTCTTACCTACCTTGCCCTCCTTCACTGGCATTTCTTCCTTCACACTAGGTATAATTTTAAATGTAATTGCTCCTTGAGACTGAGCCTGGTGAACATTTGAAAAGAAAATGCACTGAGAATTAAGTTGTACGTTTCAAAGAAATCTTAAAAGAAATTGAAATTCATTTAAAAATACTCAAATATGATGAATCTACCCTCTCCCAAGCATGATCCATGGACTTTTGACAGCTTCACCATACCAAAATTTGCATTGCAAAGACTAAAATATCCACTTGAAACGCTGGGTTTTATTTACTTCACTGGTGGGCAGAGATGGACTGCTAAACACTGGGACCTGCATGTTTCAGAGGTCCCACTTCTGCACTGAAAGCAGGAGCAAATGCTACGGCTAAAATGGATGCATATTAGAGCAACTGCTGGACTCCTGGCACAGTTTGGACATCCCTGGAAAAATCCAACTAACATTTCATTTTTCAAAAAAAAAATGATAGAAAAATTCAAACAGGCTTGTGCCATATTTATCATATAAAACTATTGGGGGGGATTTATTCTTTTGGCAACTTTGAGAAACTAGAAAAGAAAAACATTTTTGAATAGACTGTGTACTAAATGGAAAAAAAGCCCTCCACTATAAATCTTAAAACAAGTTAGCCATCATCAACCACCTCATCCATTCATCTTTCCCTGTATCCCACTTAAAGTGTGTCTGGCTGCATTTTGCTTATTAACCACAATATATTCCCACTGCCTCAGTGACATTTTGCCATTGAAGGAAGTGCTAATCAGCTGGAGCCTCTGCTACTATTGCATGCAGCCGACAACTTTCATAAAACTAGCAGAGTGCAACAGACAGCCAACGATTTAAGCAAAATGGAAACAGGCCTGTCCGCTACCAAGCGAGACATACTTCTGCCGGCATGTCTGCGATCCAAGAGCTCACTGTTTGACAAGCAGCAGCCAAGTTCTTATTTCACCAGCCGTAGGACTGGAATCAATAATTCTGTTACTTTTGAAACAAGCTTTAACTAGCTTTTGATGTTTATATTGTACCTCGAGGAGGTAAATGGGGAAATTGTTCACACCTTTTCTAGTGCTATTGTGTTTCTAGAGATTTTTAAATATTAATTTCTGCAGGAAAATATGTTTCTGTAGGGAACACAAAACCATAAAGCAAGTCTGAATATCAGTGGGCTAGCATTTGAAATGAGGCATCTCGGTTATTGAACCAAAACTGTGAAAC